GCTGGCTGGGGGGGGGGGTCATGGCCCCGGGGAGTCATGACGCTGCTCCCTGTCCTCCCCCGGCTTGGCCACTGCCGCCAGCATTTTTTCCTCGTTGTTCATTTTCCGAATTCCTTGGCAGGGCTGCAAGTGCAAACAGCTTATTTTTAGCTGGGGTCATCTGCATATGATGGCTTAGCTGTTTTCCCAGTGCCTGGGGGGCAGGGGTGCTGGGCCCTAAGCTCTTCTCCCCACACACTCTCTCTTTCCACATTGTGGCTGGTCTTCACAGGATCCTTTTGGTCCTGCAGGTTCACAGCCCCAAATGGGAGCATCCAGGAGTTGTGGGGAGGGCAAGAGCAGCTGGTGTGCACTATATTTCTCTGCCTGGGCACTTGCGATGGGGATGCCATTGAAGCCCCTCCTAATCTGGGCACTAGATTGGCATGATCTGTCCTCAACTGCTTTGTGGGGCAAAGCCAATATCAGTGTTCCTTGCCTAGGGGTAGGGATGGTGTGACCTTTGGGGAATGCTGTCAGGGTCTCTCCTTATTGCTTTTTAATAGGATCTGCCACACATTAGTCTGGGCTCTCTTTGGCTGGTGCTGGGGATCCTTTTGTGGTCTGCCAGTCTCTGCTTCAGGACTAGCGCTGCCCCCTGTGGCATTATGTGAGATGTTTCCTCTGTGTCTTTCCAGCTGAGAACTACGGAGTTCAGGGCTGGGCTGCTCTACTGCCCCTTCTTTCTCCCACCCTACTAGTGGGTGGTGCTGAAAGGACCTACCTGCCTATTCCTCTGCAAAGTGGAGTGGGGAGAGGCTTGTCTGCCCCTTGGGTCCTTGCTTACATCTCTGTGTTGGTTGCAGGTCCCTGCTGGCCTCAGATGAAATGTGCAGCCTCATCGTTGAAAAGGGGCAGGGGCAGGGACAAGTAGAAGAGGATCCTGATGCCATTGTGAAAGGTGGGTGCTGCCTGTGGCAGGGAGCTGAGATCAGGGACAGGTGTTTTGCAGGGGCTCTGCTGGGTGAGGGTACTACCTTTCCTGTTCAAGATCATCTGGGTGCCCTGTTGCCCAGAGCCTGGCTGAAACACATTTAGATTTGGGGGCTTATAGCATGCTGGAGAAGGGCAAAATGAAGGGTGGGCATGTGTCTGGGCAGGTCTCTGCTTTCCATGTCAGATCCCTGTGGAGCAAGTGAAGCCTCAGTGGGTTCAGACCCTGGGTATTGTGAAGGCCTGCACCAGCCCTTCTACATCTTCAGCCTGGGGCTCTAGGGAGCCTGTGGGGGCTGAGGCCTGGGGCTCTGAGCCCTGGTTGTCTCTTGGCTGGCTCCCAGCTTCCCTGGGATCAGGCTGCAGCATCCTGGTGATGTGAGGATCCTGCAAACCCCTGTATAGCTGTGCTTGCATCTAGACTCTGCTTGTGTCTGGGGCCAGGCAGCTTACTGGAGTTGTGCAAGAGGTGGGACAGACTAAAGTCTGGTGTGGAGTACATCCTGGAGCTCTAATTTGGTAGTAATGGCCACAGGGGTGGGCAAAACGCAGCTTGCGGGCCAGATGCGGCCCGCCAGGCCATTCTATCTGGCCCACAGGGCCCCTAAAAAATTCAGAAAATGAATATTCATCTTCCCCTGGCTGCCTGTTATGCGGCCCTCAATGGCTTGCCAAAACTCAGTAAGCGGCCCTCAGCCCAAACTAATTGCCCGTCCCTGAGTGGGCAGGACAAAGCTTAGCTTAGGCTTATTGCCTGGAGCCCATAGCCTGTCCTGCCATATAGAGCCAGAGTCAGACTGCCCCAAAAGCTCTTTCCCCCCTGCCCCAGAAGTCCTCTGGGTTGGGAGCTGGCTGGAAAGGGTGCCTCAGCCCAAGCAGCCTAATCAAGGCTGAGGGGGGTGTGTGTGTAGTGGGGTATAGGCTGCCCCTGGCTCAGGTGCAACTTTCTGCCCCTCGGGAAGAGCTTAATTTTGAGCGGGGAGAGCAGGAGGGGAAATGGAGGGCTTTTCCTTCTTTTTTTGGGGAACTCCTCCCTGGAGATGGGGAGAGAAGGGACTTGAAACTCTCTCATGAATGAGGGACATGTAGAGTTGGGGCTGGGGCATGGTGGGAACTCACTCTCTGTCCTGTCATCCCTCCCACCCCCTTTCCCACAGGCTGGCTGCAAAGGGAGGTGCGAGGGAGTGTGAAGCCCTCCTGGATCAGGCCCCGGAAGTACTGGTTTGTGCTGACCCAGGACTCCCTTGACTACTACAGCAGCAATGAGAAGGGGGCCAGGCGCCTGGGCATGCTGGTGCTCACCAGCCTCTGCTCCGTGCTGTGGCCTGACAAGCAGACCTACAAGGAGACTGGTACTTGCCCCCTCTAACCATGCACTGCACCTGTGTTGCCAGTGTCAAGGGGGTGGGGCCAGATGGGGAGTCCAGCCTGTGACACAGTGCACAGGGCAGGGGATGGTGTTCCCTCTTGGCCTGCACTGCACTGCCTATGGTGGCCATGGCTGTATGCAGCTCCCTGGCTGACTCAGCTGCCTTCGAGCTACCCCCACCCTCTTGATGGGGTCCCTGTCTGCCATACCCCAAGGCTTAAGCACTGTAAATATCTTAAGTGTCCTGTGGCCTTGTCCTACTGCCTGGAGCACAAGGATGAGGTAGGAAAGCCTTGATCACACTGGCTTCTGGAAACCAGTGGCAGGGAGGGACCCCTGGCTGGGATGCGATGAGCGCATTGTAGGGAGCAATCTACAACTGTTGCAAGGGTGGGGGTGCTGTCCAGCAAGGGCCATGGAAGTAGAGCAGGGCAGCATCAAACACTTGGTCTGTCTGGTTCTTCACAGGCTACTGGTCTGTGGTGGTGTTTGGCAGGAAGCACTGCTACCGCCTGTACACGGAGCACCTGAACGAGGCTGTCCACTGGGTGTGTGCTGTGCAGAAGGTCATTGACAGCAAGGCCCCTGTGCAGACACCAACGCAGCTGCTCATGCATGACATTGAGGTGAGACTAGGGTCAGGGGATCACTTGTCAGAGAGGGGGCCGTGGCCAGACTTGGCAGGGTCCTGAGGTTCCCATCTCCACCACTCCCTTTCCTCCTTCCTCTCCCCCACCCCATTTCACGATCCTCCTTTCCCCCTGGGCTGTACTGGGGAGGGCAGAGTTGGGCTGGAGGCAGCAGGTTGCTGTCATTTGCAGCACCCGCAAGGCTGGCTTTTCAGAGTGGGGATGCTGATGGATGATCCAGTGGCCTCCGAGCTGTTTTCCCAGGGCCTGCCAATGTTGTAGGCTCTCAGCCTGACCTGGGCAGAGGGGTACCTCATGCTAAGTAGCACCATGCTTGCCTGTCTGGGCCTTATGGTGCACTGTGCAGCAGCTGCTATTGCTTCCTTCCCCAGGAAAACTGTGAGAGCCCAGAGATCTTGGAGCAGATCTACCGCTGCAATCCAATTCTTCGCTACACCAGCAGCCCACTCTATGCCCCCCTGCTCCCCTTCCCCTATGGCAGCGTGGACCAAAGCGGTGAGCAGCTGGCATGAGCCCAGTTCTTGGAACTGACCTGTGGTGCCAAGGCAGGGTTGGCCCATGGGTGTGATTACTGTGGGGTGGTGGGGGAGGAGCAGGCCTTGCTGTGAGCACAGCATGTGTGGCTGCTGTGTGTTGTGGCACAGGCTCAGAGCCACACCGTGGAATGCCTGACCTGTGGCCTGGACCTTTTTTTACGACCCCCTGCACACTTTGCCGGAGGGAATAGTAGGGATAGAGAGAGCGGGAGATGGAGAAGGCTTTTGAGGACCAGGCTCAACCAAACTCTTATTGACTAACACCACAGTCATCCCATTACTGGTAAACTACTAGAATGCTGCTGAGAGCAGGTTAAGCAAGGGGGGCTGGCCTTCCACTGGGAGGCCCAGTGGGGATGTACAGTCTGACACTCCTTTTCTTTCAGTACCAGCTCCTACTTGAACTTCTGCCCTTGGCAGTCTGTGCCCAGCACTTAACATTGGCTATCACATGCAACAAACATGGGGGCCCAATAGATGCCCAATTAAATTAAACAGTATAATCAGAGTTGAAATCAGTCTGCTGTGCTCAGACTCTGGCCTTCCCCTTGGGGTGAAAAGGACACCTGGGGCAGCCTGCTTAACCTGGCCTGTTCCACAGGCCCTTTAGCTAACACCCACAATGAACCTTAGAGCAAACTAATAACTGATGCAGTTAGAGGCCTGTGTCCATGTAGGAGGTGCCTTGCCCTGGGCCTCTGGACCCCTTGCAGCCTACCTAGATATCTCTTTCAGTATTATTCCCCTGCTGCCAGATTTCTGCAGCTATTTATAGGTGGGAGATGGAAGGTGGTGCCTTAGGCCCTGCTGAGACTCTGCTCCCTCTGTTTCCTGGGGCTAGACAGGGATAGAAGGGATCCTTGCTGAGTGGGACTTTGACCCATGCATATCTTGCCCTGACAGGATGTGGGAAAGGAGATCTGATTCTCTCTGAGTGATCAAGGAGCGGGCATGGGTGCTTGTCCATGTGCCAGTGGTATGGGTTGGAGTTCTCTGGTTGTTGTCTGGGTGGGTGCCTTGGAAAATCCAATTGTGCTTGTGGGGTGGAGGTCCCCATTGGTCTGAGTGCTGTCCTGACTAGAGCAGGGGTTTGGGCACATGCTACTTGTGATGGGAGGCATGCACTTTGCCAGGGTGCTTGGTCTTGCTAGGGCAGGAGGAAGGGCTGTGTGCTGGCTCTGAGGCATGGGGCTCCACAGAGTCTTTCCTGCCTGTGCTGGGCTTGGAGAAGAGGAGGAGAACCATCGTCTCCCCAAGGTCCTGCAGGCAGTGTATGACAGCTGGTTGATGCAGGGGCCTGGGCTCTAAAGTCCAGGCCCCTGCTAATCAGAGATGCCTGCTTGCTTCTAGCCCCCAGTGCCCATGGCTACACAACACTGCGTGATGAGGCTGTGAAGCTCTTCAACTCTCTGCAGCAGTTGGAGGCAGAGCGGGACCCAGGGCCCCTGATCCAGGGAATCCTGCAGACCTGCTGGGACCTGCGGCCCCTTGTTGATGAGATCTACTGCCAGTTGGTGAAGCAGACCACAGAGCCACCAGCACCTGGGGAGCAGGGTGACCTGCGCTACTGGCAGCTGCTCACCTGCATGAGCTGCACCTTCATGCCCTCCCTTCCTGTCCTGCGCTTTCTTCACTTCCGCTTGGACAGGTGAGTGTCAGGACAGCCAGCTCAGTTTCTGGGGGTGGGTACATTGCCTAGGGCACTGGGTCCTGGTGAGAGGGGCTGGGTCATGAGGGGTGTCTTGCACAGGACTCCCTTTCCCCTACTGGGCTCAGGGTAGGGCCTTGGGGATAGGACTAAGGGCTTCCGTGCCAAGCTGGCAGAAGCTTCTATGGCCCCGCTTTCATTAAAGGGATTTAGTGTGTGGGACCCACTCTCTTCCCATCTGCAGAGAAAAAAACACCAGCTCCAGAATGTTCTGGGTGAGCTGCAGCTGCCAGGCTGTGTGGTGGAGAATTCCCTGGGAAGACCTGGATCAGGGTGCCCCAGCCCTGCTGTTGCCAGGGGAGCTGCTGACTTGCCGTGTGCTGGAAATGGCTTGGCTGAAGGCTGTAGAGACTGAGGGGCAAGAAGGGCTCAAGGCCAGGGAGCAGCTGGGGCTGTGACATGGCATGGCTTAGGGGCAGAGTGAGAGTCTAGATCCAGCACCTGCAGCCCTAGGGCCAAGCCCCTTGTAATGGAGCTCAGGCTAGTGTAGTACTTGGCACTATGGGCAGTGCAGCTCATTCTGATGCTCATGCCGCATTTGCCCTGCAGGACAGAGAGCAGGTTCCCTGACTCGGAAATGGCCAAGTATGGGAGCTTTATCAGGGAGGCCCTGGGCAAGACGCAGGGGCGGGAGTGTGTGCCCTCGCTGAACGAGATTGCAGCGCTTATCCAGCGACAGGAGATGGTCTGCACTGTGCACTGCCCTGGTGCGGCCTCCTACAGCGTGGCCATCAGCTCGCACACAACAGCTGAGGAGGTGAGCTGGGCCTCTGGTGGGGGAGGAAGTGGCATTGATCCTGTGCCCATGCTGGGAGATGCCTTGTTGTGGGCAGGTTCCTAGGGCTGACTGTGGGGCAAGGGGTGCTAAGCCTGTGGCAGGTTGTACCTGGCACCTTGAGGGAGGGAGAAGGTAGAAGCCAGGGAAGATCCTTGGTGCCAAAGCACAGTGGAGGGAGGCTCCTTCAGTCTGAAACCCCAATGCCCTGCCTTGCTTGAGCGGGGTCCCTGGCATTGACCTATGGGCAAGTGCTGCCCCATGTCCTGCATCCCTTGCTGGGTGAAGCAGTGGAGGTGGGGCCAGTCTTTGGGTCCAGAGCCCCCTGGAGCATCTGATTGCTTACTCATGTTGCTGTCTTGCCTGTCTGCTAGGCATGGGGCCAGGACCCCTCCCTGCAGCCCAGGGGCAACACTGTGACCTGTGGGGGGGGGCAGGGTCACTGTAGGAATGCCTGCATTTGCTTGTTGTGACCTGTCTGTGTCCCTTTGCAGCCCTGAGAGCAGTGGCAGGGCCACGTAGTCACCCGTTGGTTGCCTTTGTCTCGTCTCAGGTGGCCCAGGAGCTGGTGTCTCGGCTGGGCCTGTCCCAGAGCCCCAACATCTTTGCGCTCTATGAGCAGAGCCGGCACTATGAGCAGCCTGTGGGGAGGGCCATGTTGGTGGCTGACGTCCTCACCAGGTTTGAAAAGTAAATGCCTCTTGCTGCCACCCTTGCACCAGTGAGAGTTGGGGGGTGGGGGGAAGTTAGGGTGTAGAAGAATAGGGGAGGGGAGTTACGAGGTGGGGAGGGAGGAAAACCTGAGGGGATTGTTGGTTACTAGTCCCTGTGACAGTAATGCTGTCCCAGCTTGCTCATTTTCCCTCCCTAGAGAGAGGCTGGCAGAGGGAAGGGGTGCATGTCCATGTGTCGTGGCATTGATGGGAACTGTCTGTCCTTTTGCCTTGCCCAGCCTGGCAGTGGAGGAGACGATGCGGGACTCGTCCTGGAGACTGTGTTTCAAACACTATGGCTTTTTGGACACAGAGAATGTGCCACGTGACAGTGTGGAGTTCACCCTCCTCTTTGAGCAGGTGAGAGCCTGGATCTGGGCTATGTGGGCTGGGTCCTTGCTGCAGAGGCCCCACCCCCACAGAATCCAACCCTTACAAGGCAGGGCTGCATCTCTAAGTGCGCCTCTCAGTGGGGCCCCAGCCCTGTGCCCAGCCTGCGAGTCCTCTGCGGGGCCTGCAGCCAGAAAGCTTTTTTTTTTTTTTT